CCCGTGGCCCCTCGCTTTGCCGGGAGCGCCCGTCCCGGACGTCCTGCTGGAGGGAGCACCGGCACGAGGCCATGTGCACCCGCTCGGCTGCGGCCCCGTGGGGATCCGCAAGTCTTTCCACAGGCCCATGGCACCGTGTGCTGAATGGCGATGGCTCCCGCCACGCTGCTCCCACTGCCGGCAGGGACGGCGCGGGGTGACCTTGCTGCTGGGAATCAGCTCCAGCTTCTGGCTGCGTCTGCCCTGGAAACAGCTGACACGCTGTCCTGTGGCACCGCGGGCAGGCACGTACTGCAGCAGCGCTGGTGTCGGCTCTCTCTGCACCAGGGAGGGGGCCCACTGGCATCTGGCTCCTGGCAGAAATCCCTGCTGCCCCCGGAGCAGGGGAGCACATGCCCAGCGCAGCAGTGAGACCCCCTGCCTTCCCCCCATTGGGCTGGACCGTCTGGAGGCTGGTGATGCTCCGTGGGGCAGACCTGCCCCACGGGGCTCTGCTGGGAGAGCCTGGGCCATGCCCCCCTCGTGCTGCAGGCGGGGAGGGGAGCACAGCTCTGCAGCACTTGGCATCTCTCCTGGCACTTGCAGGGGGAGCAGCGGGGCAGGTGCTTTCGGGTGTCCCCCTTCCCCTTGGGAGCCACATGCTGCCCAGCCCCTGCCTGCCCGGTGCCTCTCCCCTCGCACGTGCCGTGCCGCTGCCTCCCTGTGCACGCAGCCTCCCTGACATCGCCAGTCTAGCTGCCTGCACCATGGCCCCTGCTATGCTGCTGCCTTCCTCCTCCCTCTGCCATGCGCCACCACACGCCCTCGGCTCCCCAGCCCTCCCCCCCATCCGAGAGCCCCCCACAGCTGCCCCGGCTGGCTGCCCGCACGCCTGCTGCCCTGCCTGCGCCCCTGCACGCGGGGCCTCATCACCACCTCCTGCTGCAGCCCATGCTGTCAGCCCTGCAGATGAGTGAGCCATAAACAGTCCTTCACAGAGACGTTTTTCACACACAGGGCCACATGTTAACAGTTTTTCTTTATTTACTGCCTCCATTTCCTCTTTGTTCCAGGAACTTGTCCTCCAACTTCAAGCTGCTCATGATTAGGCAAAAAGACCTCTAATCTCCCCGATCTGATTTACCGTCACTGAGAGCAGCTGGCGTTGCCGCTGCCCCCCTGTGCACGCAGCCTCCTTGACATCGCCAGTCTAGCTGCCTGCACCATGGCCCCTGCTATGCTGCTGCCTTCCTCCTCCCTCTGCCATGCGCCACCACACGCCCTCGGCTCCCCAGCCCTCCCCCCCATCCGAGAGCCCCCCACAGCTGCCCCGGCTGGCTGCCCGCACGCCTGCTGCCCTGCCTGCGCCCCTGCACGCGGGGCCTCATCACCACCTCCTGCTGCAGCCCATGCTGTCAGCCCTGCAGATGAGTGAGCCATAAACAGTCCTTCACAGAGACGTTTTTCACACACAGGGCCACATGTTAACAGTTTTTCTTTATTTACTGCCTCCATTTCCTCTTTGTTCCAGGAACTTGTCCTCCAACTTCAAGCTGCTCATGATTAGGCAAAAAGACCTCTAATCTCCCCGATCTGATTTACCGTCACTGAGAGCAGACGCTTCCCGTTACTGGCCCTGGACCTGGGAGCACGGACAGCCGAGCTCTGCTGGCTGCTGAGCTGAGCCTCTCCTCCCCAAAGCTGCCCCGCTGCATGCGCTGCCTTCCCAGCAGCTTCCTCTTCCAGTAAGTGCCGGGCAGCCCGGCTGGTCACGCCGCAGGTGAAGGGCTGGGGGGGAAGTGCAGCCGTGGGGCCCTGGGCTGGGGACCCCACTGTGTCTGGGGCAGCTGCCCTGGGGCAGGGCAGGCTCTGGAGCTGCTCTCTGCTCCCTCGGGAAGGGCTGGCTGGCTGGAGCATCCCTGGGCCGTGGCCTACCCAGCCGCTTGCCCGTCCACTCCTGCTGCTCCTAGCGGGGGTGGCTGGGTGGCCCTGGGGTGACCTGTGGGGCTGCTGGGCTGGCTGCAGCGCTGTGCCCGGCATGGGGAGAGCACCTGTCCTGGCCGTGCCTCTCGTCTCGGCGCCTGCAAGCGCTGGTTTCGGAGACCTGAGGGGGCTGGCTCGGGGCTCTACGCTGTGCAGCCCCCCCCACCAGCCCGGGCAGGGCCTGGGGTCCGCAGCCACACAGGGCGCTCCTTCGCTGGGAGGTGGCAACATCCTTTGCAGGACCTTGCAGCGTGGCAGGGCGTCCTCCGTGGAGCCCCATGTCCTGCCAGGGCCTTTCCCCCAGGGCTGTGGGCTGGGACCTGCCTCAGGGGTCTCCCCCGGCACACAGCGAGCTCCCCCTGACCATGAGGGGCCCAGCAAGGCCTT